ACTTCAAATCTGAAAGATATAGAATCAAAACATATTTGATTATCACTAACCTCACTTGTCTCCTCTTTACCGTGTGCTCAATTATCCTTCTGTTAATTTGAAATCGTTAAATCTGAAAGAAATAAAAAAAATTTCAGAGAATCACAGAAATCTTAAACTCAATCAAGGGTTAATACAGCCGAAATCGAAACTGGGTTCATCTGGAAACTGACCGCCGGCGACGAAAACACCACAGGAAGGAAGATCTCGGTGAAAAATCAGAGAGACTGATGTCTCCGAGTTTTGCATGCGTCGACAGAGAAGGAGAGGCGGAGGAAGAAAGGTTTAAAAAAAAGACTAAGTCTTTTGCAATCGAGAACACTTTGCAGTGTATTTCCCTGTTTAATGAATTTTTTATTCATTTTATTTCCCGCTTTAATGCATTTTTTCCCTAGCGCGTAAGTTTCGCTACAAAAAAGTGGAACATCGGATTTCACCACTTTTGGTAGCAGTTCGTGAATTCGTGCTACCGTCAACTGCTACCAATGCCCATATTTCTTGTAGTGCGATATGTATGGCTTTTGCATATTTTTATGATAGTCTACAGATCTATATTTATTGATAGAGAGAAGATCTAATTCATTTTTCAATAATTTCACGCGTCCATCAAAATCCTCCTATACATTAAAAGAGAAGTCACTTGGACACGTGGCACTCATACAGGCCTTCTCAGAGAAATTCTGAGAATCTGATTGGTTGATTTATTTTAATTTTCGTTTATATTTTTTTTTGCTTCGCCGTGCAAATGGTATGACAATCGTATCTCAAATATTTGGTTACATTAATTACTTGCCTTACATTATATTCGAAAACTTGCGAAAGAAGTTGGAAATTAAATGTCAAAGATGTCAATCTCAAATATTTAGTTACGTTAATTACTTGCCTTACATTATATTCGATAACTTGCGAAAGAAGTTGGAAATTAAATGCCAAAGATGTCAATCTCAAATATTTGGTTATGTTAATTACTTGCCTTACATTATATTCGATAACTTGCGAAAGAAGTTGGAAATTAAATGCCAAAGATGTCAATCTCATACCATTAGGAAAGATTGACAATATATATTAACGATGTCCTAATGTCTGTAGACCTAACGCAAGTATTAAAAACATCTATGGCAATGGTTAAAGCTACGAAAAATCGAGATTGATTCGCAATGCTTTTTCTACATGAGGCTATAGATGTTTTCTTATTAACTGGTTTATTTTTGTTTCATTAGTCGTTCACGATCGCCAGTGAGAAGACAGAGAAGCGTGGAGGATAGATCACTCAGTCCCAAGGCAATGGAGAGATCCGTATCTCCCAAAGGTAAAGACCAAAGCATTAGTCCAGACCGAAGAGTCATAGATTCAAGCCCAATACGTGGGAAGGAAGACGGATCAGACTATGAAGGAAGCCCAAGAAAGAATGGTAATGGTAAGAATGTAGCTGGTTAATAACACATGTATTATTTGAGTAAACGTTGCATCAATCGTTTTTTGTGTGATTTTAATTCTGTCTAATTACTTTAATTTCATTCGTGGATAAGAATCCACGAACATACAAGTTCCACCATGTTCCTTCTTTGGCAAACACTGAGTAGAAAAAAAAAGTAAGTGAGCCAATACTCTTGTTCATATACACCATTAATATTTTCACTGCTCTACTTTGAACTTGGACACAATTGGATGATCAATCAATTATGGTCAGTTTATGTTTTGTTGTTGCTGCTGACGTAATTGCCGAAACAGTGGAATCCACCCTGACAATATTCTATTAATATATTATTTTCTAAGTGAATTGTTTTTTTTTTTTCAACAAATGTAGTGAATTATTATTACTCTATTTCAAGTAATTATGTACTATACTTGTAAGATGATCAAACTTGACAGTATGATATCAATATTTTATTCTGTACATAGTCCGGTTAAAAGTGAGGAGTCTTGACGTTGTAGTTGTAAGATGCATGCATTTGTATTTTGTATAATTGTCAATTAGAATTTCTCAAGGTGCAAAGAAATGTGATTTTTAGTCAAAAAGAAACGAAATTTGATTTTTAGGACCTCAACATTTTTAGCAGCTATTATATATTTATATCTAATCATAGCCGGTCCTAGAAAATTTAAGACCAGAAATAAATTTATCGACAATGGTGATCAAATCTGATTTAATCATATTATCTTCATGTAATGATTCATTGTGCTATATAAATACACAGAAAGTTATAAGGTTTGTATTATATTTAATTGTATATTACCTGATAAAATGTTATCTTATTATAACTGACTACTCAAATTAACTGTTAGATTGTAATATATGAGAGGTCTTGCCAAATAATTAGGCTATGATGTTTCGTAAATTTATGAAACTTAGCAAATAATAAACCAATACAACATTTTAGTTTTTTTTGTTAGAAACGTCACTTGTTTTTTGAGCAACTGTTAGAGACGTCACTAAAACACACAAATCACATAAACCTTTCTTAGAGCATTTCTATCTCTATTCTATAATTTATTTCATCATACTTCAAAAATAGAGAGGAAAATGGAGCAATGAACGAAAAATAAAATATTATTCTATAAATATTTTTATTTATTATTTATTATTTATTATTCTATTTTAAATCAAATTATGGAGTGGAGTTAATTAGCTAAGACTTAGAGCGACTGTGTAACACATATCAAAGCGTTGTCACCTCACTATAATTGAATGTAAAAGCACATATACTTTTTGTCAATCTTTTCATTTTCAACATCAAGTTGTGATAATAGTTCTCGAAGTTAACATAGCTAAGATGTGAACCTGGTTTAGACCGGTTCAGTTAACCCATCTATTGCATTCTATAAAGCAGACGCAGCATCTTTCTGCTCAAACCACGCTCCTAATAACAATACCGACAAACAAAAACAAAATCGCTATTCTTGGAACTCAAGAAATAATATCGGAGAACGCCGACGATTCTTCAACCACTAAACCAAACATCAAGAGGAATAGCTCCGGAGAACTTGACGTCTTTGAAGCCACTCGGTACTTCTCCGACTTCAACGAACCAACAATGGCCGAGAACTCAAGAATCCAGATTCAGAAACAGAGCACTGTTACAGAACTTCGACAGAAGAGAGTACACCCTGAGACAGAGACTAAACTCCCGGAACCTAGAGTCGTCATCGTGAAGCCACATGAGAAGGAGATGAAGACACGTGGCGGCGGTGGGAAGAAGCTAACCAGCTTCTTGAACTCTCTTCTTCGTTCAGCAGGTTTGAAGAAGTTAAAGTCAAAGTCAACTCTAGAGGTGGAGAGTCCACGTGTAGAAAGAAGGAGGAGGCATAGCTGCGTGGTGACCGTGACCACACACGCCGAAGAAGCTTCTTCTCCGATCTCCGGTGCCGGCGCGTTGAATTTACACTCGCGTAGGAGAAGCTTTGATGAGAATGAGATATACGTGAAAGGCTTAGGTTCGAAGTTTAACATGAGGTTGTGTGAGAGTCTCTGCTCGGACAAGAAGGTTGAGTGTAAAGATCGAAAAGGAGGAGAAGTTGATGTAAATGGTGGATACGAAAGTGATTCAGGTTCTGATGAATCTGATCTTTTTGAGTTGGACTTGTTTGCCAAATTAAACCCTTAATTAAGAACGGTCCCAAAAATGTAATCCTGTAATGTAATCTTATTATGAAAAATCTAATAGTGAGTGGTTTGTAGACGAGGAAAAAAAAAGGGTATGGACTTAAAAATGGTGTTGTAGTCTTCCCTTGTCCTGCTTGAATAGAAACAAATGGAATGAGGTGATAGTTCATGTCCTTCGTTCTGTATAAACTTAACTGAATTAAGATAATTTGATTAAATTTTTGATATTTACTGAATTTGATATAGAACATGTTAAAGTGGATCTTTGATAGTAGACACGTTATGATACAATTAGGAGAGAAAATATCATTGATTATTGCTCTGATTGGTGACAAAAGGCTAATAACACATGACGCGGTACATGTTGTAACAAGCGGTTTAACAGATTCTAGGATCCCCAAGCTGTCTAGAACGATCTATTGATATAGACAAAAGTATTACAAATCATTGAACGATACTTCTTCCATTTTTTTTTGAATTCTATGACGCTTTCGAAATGGTCACAATTTAATAAAAATATTATTAAATATTTAACGAATCACATTTCAGGTTTCAACAACAAAAAAAAACCTACAGAATAAAAAAAAAATTAACGCATAAAAATTAATAAATTTTACATTAAAAAATGAAAGTTACATATAAATTGGAACAAAATATTTTCTTAAGAAATCACTTGTTAAAAAAACGGAGAGAGTATTAGGTAAATTTTCCAATAGAACACTAAAACATCAAATCTGGTGTGATTTCATCTCCGATAAAACATTAAAAATGACACTATCTCACCAAACTTGGTGTAGAGTGAATAGTGCTACAACAAATTTGTGTGCTACAGTTAAATAATACATGTGTTATCAAGTAATGATGGTGATGGTATCATCTCATTAGCATCTAAGCGATGGGAAGGCCCCTTCTTATGCACAGTATGCAAGAAAAAGAAAGACGCCATGGAAGGAAAAAGACCAAGCAAAGGTTCAGTGACCACTTGAAACCACAAGATCCGGTAAGAAATGGCTTATGTTTCTCGTTTTTCTCATCTTAACTTCTTCTGGTGTGCTGTGAGATAGCCTGGTTAAGGTTTTGTGTTCTTTTCCCTAGCATTGATTTGGAGAAGTAGTAATTAATAATAGAAGTTGTTGCAAAATGTTTGTAAAGAAAAGAACCAATTCTTCTTATCCCATTGTTTAAGATATGTCTGGTTTGTGTTGGCTTATGCTAAACATTTACTTTGATAGATGTGTGTTTTTAATTGTGAATTGCTAATATATTAACATGGTTTTTCCAAGTTGTAAGTAGAATTATCATCTGGTTATTTCCGCCACCCATTCATTGAAGTTCGTGTATGTCTTTTTTTTTTTTTACTCTGGTGTATACGAATGAGCCACTGTGACCTTAAAAATACTCCATGTAAGTCGATGCTGCCAAAAAAAAAATTAAAAAAATGGCAAATATATATATATATATATATATATATATATAAATATGGATCTTAAAAATGTAATTTACTATATATATACATTTGTTTGTTTTTTCTATTAACAGATAAATAACACAGATGAAAGACCGTTTGTAGTTGATTACAAACCATTTTTCAGTTTGTTTCAATAGCGATATGCAAATTCAGTATTATTTTCGTCTCGATAACATTTTGAAATCTATTAAATTATTTTATATTGTACCATTGCTAAAAAAATTGACAATTTTTTGCAGGTTTCTATGGAATTTTTAATTCATAATTGTTCTTCTTATTTTATATAACTTATGAATTATATTTAAACTTATATCACATTTTCTATGGGATTGTGATATCTATGAGATTTTTATCACATTTTTTAATATGTTATTGTCTCCTGTATATTTTTTTTACATTTGTTTTTTTTAATAGTTAACTTTTATTAAAAACATACTAATGATGTTAATTTTTTTTTTACTTTAGTTAACTTTCATTTGTTTTATTCTTATATACTTTTTGTGACTTTTTTAGTTTTTGTTTCAGTTTAATATTGAATTTAGTTCACATACTTTATGTGTATATATTTTAAAACATAATTTTTCTTTTAAAAAATTAAGCGACAAAGAGCCTAATTAAACCGATCCAAAAACAAACCGAACTGAATATAAATTGAACTGTACATAAACTACACCGAACCAGATTAAATAAGGTTTATTTCAGTTGAAATAAATATATTAAAACCGAACTAAACAAACCAAACCGAAAAAGTAATGATTTGCCCACCCCTACTGCATCCTAGAGATTTGCGCAAATCTTGTCTCAGCATTGAAACTCTCACTTGTTCCACTAACTCCCACATTTGCACTCAATAGATACTCCTATTTCAGCATTATACTATATTTTTATACCCGCACAGGGTGTGGGTGGGTCACCTAGTGTTAAATTAATTAGGGATTACTCATTTATTTTGTCCCCAGATATATATTAATAAATTATAGTATTCCAATAAAGAACATATAACTATATCTATATAAGACCACATAATACGGGAAATTAAATATTTCTTAGTCTCTCATTCTGTTTATCATAAATCCAACAAACAATAATATGTGTGAACATTAGAAATAGATCTATATAAAGGATGTAGAAGTCATAAAATAGCTCAATAATTCTAATATATAGGTTAATTGTAACAAACAACATAATTAAGCGTTATCTTCAAGGCCATTCCTTCATTGATACTTCATGAAAGTCTTTAGAGGTGTTTTCGTGTTGCTCAAAAAAAGAGGTGTTTTCGTAAATATGTCTACAACCATAACTTCAGTACCTATATATTTAATGATAAATTTTTATCCTTTGACATCGTACTCTAGTGGCATATATTAAGCGTAAGGTCCGTATATACTTGGATCCTTTAATTATCATGTCTTACTTATAAATATGATTGCAACTTTCACTATTACATAAAGAGTTGAACGCTTCATGTTTCAAGCTCACAGATAATTCTGCAATTATGTTCATCATTACAGAAACTTCATAAATTGCCGCATACTCGGTTTCTTTATTGGATGTCTACAGCAATTACAACTTTAAGTTTTCTCATAATATGAGACCCCAGAAACAGAGTCAAGAACAATATGGAGGAAAGGAAAAAACCACGGACGAGCAATTAATGTAAAAACAAGAGAAGAAAAGAGGGACTCCCCCGGCACCGGAACGTGCACTCACACTCACACGCCACAACTTTCTGTACGGTAAAAGAGTAATGATCGAGACTCAATTTAGGTCAAGATAAGATTCAATTTAGGTCAAGATATATAGATGAATAAATGTAGGATATGTATGAGGGAATCACTTCATAATCGACATGTAACAATGAATAAACCAAATGATAAGTGCTCATATATGAATTTTGGTATTTTCAAACTTTATTGTATATATTACAAAAGAGAGATATGGAACAAAGTAGTGCGTTTTTTTCTAATTATTGGCTACGGTTCGTTGTTGTTGAACTACTAAGACTGATGTTTTGCTAGGGAAATCGGGGGAGGCAAGGAAATCACCAATGACTCCGAGCTCCTCAAACTCACACCAATCCTCTATCCCTTTGGTCGCCTCGTGGTTCTCACCGCTTGTTCTTCCAACAATGAAAAGGTCGTAATCAAAAGCCATGGAACGTAGAAGCATGGACGTATCTGCTCCATCTATTATCTCTTGTTCCAAATAAATTGTTGAAACTTCTTCGTTTACAGTTCCTTCTGTCTCATTGCTTCGCACACACTCTCTTAGTTCCACGTTGTCAAGCATTTGGTCCCATCCTGTCGTTTCTTTGCTCTTTCCAGATGCTAAAAGGCGTACAACGGTAAGTATCACGTTCTCTTGACGAGCCATTCTCTTTGCAAAGGCCAATGCTTCCCTATCGTCTTTTCCTCCCACAAATATAACACAAACCTGCCATAGAGATTGCAACAGATTCATTATTTTTGTTTTCTTGTATTTAGTTTTTAATATAAAAGTTGATAATAAAAAATAAATAAATGTTATCTTGAGTATATAGTACCTTGAGGTTTTCTTGAGACTCTTGTTTTTTCTTAACGAGATGTCGTTCGACAAGGATGCCGACAGAACAAGGAGCTTGTTTCAAGACGTTAAAATTGAGAAACCGGATCATTTCATTGTCGGATACGATGGATGTTCGGTCGAGAGACCAAGTGCGGTGGAAAGGAAGAATGATAAGCGTGACAGCTTTATCGAGAGCTAGCCAACAAATATCATCTTGCATGTGGTTGGTGTTTGCGATGCATGTGAACGTGTCAATGGAAATGGAACTACACACGTAACGGTGGAAATGCTCAAAAGAGAGGATAACGTTTTCCGAATATTTTTTCCCCGACCCGACACCAAGTTTCTGGACTTTGTGTGAGATCAAAGTGGGAACATCTTGACCTTGTAACTCAACGAGGTGAAGTACGTAGCAAGTAAGAGGACTCTCCTCGGATTGATAAGACGCTTCTAGAAGGTTTATCATGGAAGATATGTGGTCTGGTCTATGGATGCATACAAGTGTCTTTAGCTCTCCTTTGTTTTTCATACTTGCTATGTTTCTCTTTTGGTAGCACAAGAATTGCTTCGTTGGGTCGTAGAGAAATCCGATCCCTATTGGTATGATCAACGAGTTTAAGACGATGGACAAAACTATGATTGAGAACGTATCTCTGTTCAACATCTGGAGGAAAAAAAAACAAAACAAAAATATGAATATTTTATTAATTTATTGAAAGAATTAATACAAAAGAAATGAGAGAGGCTAGCTAACTTACCGGGATGCCGTAAGAGAAAAGGTAAAAACTTAGTTCGATGACACCCTTATGGCACATGATAAAGCCAAGAGTGAAAGAGTGTCTGAGTGGCATTTTATAGAGGTAAGGTACGATCACTGTGACAGAGAACTTCAACAAGAAGACTAGTACGATGAGAGAAGCAACGGCGAATTTGCTGGCGTCGCTTCTAAAAAAAGTGAAACAATCTTTCCAAACTCTGAGATCAGCCCTGAGCATACTAGACGTAACGAAAAGAGGCAATACGAGACCAAAGTTGAAGCTCTCTAGACGTTCAACGAGTTCAGAACCAATAGGAGGTCCATTGGGAATGGAGAGACCAAGAAAGAAGGCTCCAAGTGCAGGAAACTGATCAATATCGTGCCAATACATACAGGCTAAACAAACGAGGATGATAATCATGTAGATGTATTTGTCGTCGATGGGTCTCCCTTCACGTTTTCGTTTGATTATCGTAAACATGAGGGGCCTCACAGCAGCGAAACAAATGACCATAAAGAAAGCAATCTCTATAACTTGAGCAGCGCCACCTAAATTTGGACTATTATAAGGAACCTGTGCAATCATGAAGAAGAGTCCGATCATATCAGAGATTAAGGCTGCGGATAGAGCCACCCGACCAAGAGATGAGTGGTTCATGTTGAGGTCTCTCAAGAGCCTTGCGATTCCCGAAAAAGACGTGATGCTCTCCACTAGCAACAGTTGAGCATATATAGTGGAATCGAGTGCTCGATCCTTCACTGCTTTTACACTGTAAAGCACGGTACCTACTAGTATAGGAAACATAACGGCTGCGATTCCCGTTACTCTTGCCTTTGCTTCAGCCTTGAGGATTCTCTTGACGTCCATTTTCACACCCTTTAGGAACCAAAATATCATGAACCCAAATGATCCAAGGCACCCCGGAATATCTATTTTATTTTTAGGGAACAATAACTCTTGAATAAACGACTTGTTGCCCGAATAAGTAAGTAGAACGTTGAAAACTAACCCCGCCTTCAACAACAACAACAAAATTGTATTTTATTATTTTATATATATTGTATCAGGAAATGTTTGATTATAATAAAATGAGAAGAAGAACTCACAAGCATCATAGAGGTGAACTTGGGCATCTTAAGACCCATTTTCCTGAACAAGAGGTTAAAGAATTGCCAAAGGAAGAACACAAACAATATGACCAACTCGAGATTAGGCAGACGATATTGCCAAATGCGAAGACCCTCTCTATGAAAAATGATTTTCTCCCAAATACCATCAGAAGACAACTTGGCAGGATGCTCCTCGCATATAAACCCATCACTTCTTATAGCTTCACCATACCAAGCCATCTCATATACCCAATGTACATCAACCCCCAAATCATCTGCCCCCATTCTTGGAAACATGTCCCCACTTCCACCTAATGAATCTGCGCTTCCCTGAAAATCCGCCTCCGGCATCCCTTGTCTTGGATCCGTCGTATTCCCCATTACTTCGATGAACTTAAAATCTTATGAGAGTATGTTACAAGGAACAAAATAAAGGGGAATACGATGAAGAACACTATTAGATTCCTTTAAAACTGCAAAAAAGACAACCATGTGTAAACAAGGAGGACACACAGATGTTCATTCTGTTATTAGGTCCTGCTGTTTTTTAAATTCAGTTTGGACATTTATAGATATATGTGGTTTTCGACGTTTAGAGCTATTGCTTCACTCTATAAATAGTATATCAAATTTAACCAAAGAGATTTGACGACTGTCATTTAGTTGTACTGTCTTTATAGTTTCTTTCTGCGATTCATGTGTCTGGCTGTTGAGTTACAATTTATCATTTATAATGGTTATATAATCTCAGGTGCATCAACTATGTACTATTTGTTTGACGTGTTTCGGGTACTAGTTTGGTACTCGACAAAAAAACATGTCAAACAATAGTATATAGTTTTCAATTTGTTATCTCTATTCTTTCATATGAAGCAGTCAGATGTAAACCAAATATCTTTGATTTGAATCTATCTTATTAAAGCAGACACATCACAACTTATTCTAACTAAGATTTTTAAGTTGGACCTCACATTATTAATGTAATATAATATGTATAAGTAGTCTAATTACAATATGATATGATATTTCGTGGGTATTTATTTTTTAGGAAGTTATTGATATTTCAGTATCTTACAATTAATAAGAACATAATTATAATTCATGTTTAAGAAGTTAGTCATATATCCATATTCAATTATTAAATTACATTTAATTTAGATATATACGTTCTTATTCTTTAGAAAAATCTCCAGTATATATTTTTTTTAAACATAAAATCTCGGTTACAATTAAAAATTTTGATTTGTTATTAATTATAAAGAAGAATTTGAATTTTTAACAAATAATTAATATGTTTAATTCAAACAAAATTATAAATAAGAATCAAAATAAATTTACTTGGATACAAAAAATATTTATTTAAAAGTAAAATACTAAAAGTTAATTAATATATATAATATTTGGTTATATTATTACAAATTATGTTTGATGTTTTTACAGTTAAAAAAATTGTGGGTTATTCTATGAGGCATACAAAATAATTATCAAATAAAAAATAAATTGAAAAGAATATTTGATCATTTTTATTATTACATATTAACATAAACATTAATCAACATGAAACAAACTAAAAAGATTAATTATACCTGATTTCAGTTTTAAATATTTTAATAAACATAAGCAGTTATACTACTTTGATTTTCATATGAAAATAATATCCGCACTTTGAAATATATACATGTGAAGTAAAGTTTCAATGATTTGGAATACATTTTTTGAAATATAATTGTAATAAAAATAAACTTTTAGCAACTAATTTAAACAAGGCGGGTTCATGTATAATGTTTCCCACTTGCGTGTCAAAATTTTGAATTAAAAATGATTCAATTCGCAGCGGAGCGGGTCGATCCGCAAACCCAGCAATAATTTATATTATGGTACGTATAAAATAATATTAATTATATGATGACACGTATGTGATATATAATACTGATATGAAAAACAAATAGCAATATATTTTTGAAAAATACATCCGCGCTGGGGCGTGGAACAAAATCTAGTACTATTTAAGGTGGGATATTAGATCTAGAAGTTTGATGGAATTGGAAAGAATCATAAGTTTCCATTAAATTTTATTGTTATTCAATTATACCTTTCATCAATTCTTTCAAATACCTGCAGTGTTATTGGATTAAAGATTTGTAATTACTTTTTAATTACTTTTGATTCTAGTGTTATTCAATATTTGATAGATTTTATAATAATGATATTAGGAAATAATTTAAGGAAAGAATTTATTGTAAAGATGTAAAGAACCAATTCCTTACTCTCAGTTGTTATGTAACAAGCAAAGAAAAATGAAGCTTTTATCTCATCTGTTTGGCTTACAGGGATTGGCTTAACTAACACATCATTAGAAATGTTGTGGATGTTGTTTCACGGCCTTGCAGAAGTGAAGTTGCACATTTGCTTTGCACCTTCCCTTCTTGTGCCTCAATTGGTATCACCAACGGCTTTTCTATTCATAGGCTTGGAGTAGTTTTCGTTGTATGCTTTCAGCTATAAAAAATTTAGCAAAAACGATCAAAAACTAAGTCTTCAACAATTGCTTGTAAGGGAGTATCGTAGATGTGGATTTTAGAGAAATTGATATTCTATCAAATTATGTATATTCCATTAAAATCCATAAGAAAAAGTAAGACATAAGAATTATGTAAATGCATTAAACTCTCATCAAATCTATGTAAATGCATTAAACTAGACCTGATCTAACACAGGTAATAATTCATGTAAGTGCACATGTCAATATTGTAAGATACCATTAGAACGCTATAAAATGCATTCCTAAGTACTTGAGAGGTGTATGCGAGTATGAGATTATGTTTGGACGTCAAAAATGTGGTTCATTTGTAGGGTTTGCTGATTCAGATTATGTGGGGTGATTTTAATTACACTATGATAGCTAGAGTGCATTATGCATAGCCACTTCGTAATATCATGGAGTTAGCAGATTCATAAGAAGGCTTACTGGAAAAGGTAAGTCCGATGCAAAGGAATTGTTACTTCGACCCAATGTGTTTTAACTAAAGTCATAACAACTTTTTTAGAATTTTATAAAGTCAACTAAAGTCATAACAACATATCTAATCATTATAAATCTTCTCAAAATACGAATAGTCTCCTCTGAACTTTCTGACTGTATAAGACAGTTTGGGACACCCCTTAGGATCGAAATAATTTTTTTTTTTTACACTTACAATGAAGTTACGTTACAACGTATATCAATGATAATTGGCTACGGTTCGTTGTTGTTGAACTACTAAGACTGATGTTTTGCTAGGGAAATCCGGTGAGGCCAGGAAATCACCAAGGACACCAAGCTCCTCAAATTCACACCAACCCTCTATCCCTCTAGTGGCAGCGTGGTTCACACCGCAGGTTCTGCCTACTATGAAAAGGTCGTAATCAGATGCCATAGAGCGTAGAAGCATTGATGTACCCGCTCCATCTGAAATCTTCTCTTCCAAGTAAACTGTGGAACTTTCTTCTTTTGGGAATCCTGGATCATCGTTTAGTATCAACTCTTTTAGTTCCCCTGTGTCCAGCATTTGATCCCATCCTTTGCTTTTTCCGGCTGCTACAAGGCATAGAACCGTTAATGTTACGTTCTCTTGAAGGGCCATTCGCTTTGCAAAGGCCAATGCTTCCATATCGTCCTTTCCTCCCACAAATATCAGACACACCTGTCGTCAAATCGCTTCAACTACTTAGTTAAGTCTCATTCCAAATTCATTTGAACTATGTAAAAAAAAAATCCAATAAGACTGTCTAGAAAGATGATATAAAAGGTGGCTTCAGCCCGGAACTTTTTGAAAGAAAAAAAGATGATAAAATGTAATTGTGAGAGAGTTCCAAAAAAAAAAAAATAATAATAATAATTGTGAGTATACCTTAAGGTTTTTTTGAGAGTCTTGCTTTTTGTTAACAAGATGACGTTCGATAAGGACAGCGACAGAGCAAGGAGCTTGTTTCAAGACGTTGAAATTGACAAACCGGATCATTTCACTGTCGGAGACGATGGATGTTCGGTCGAGAGACCAAGTGCGGTGGAAAGGAAGAATGATAAGCGTGACAGCTTTATCGAGAGCTAGCCAACAAATATCATTTTGCATGTGGGACGAGTTCGCCTTGCAAGTGAACGTGTCTATGGAAATGGAACTGCATATGTAACGGTTGAAATGTTCGAAAGAAAGGATGACGTTTTCCGAAGATTCTGTTCCCGTCCCGACTCCCAGTTTCTGGACTTTGTGGGAGACCAATGTGGGAACGTCTTGACCCTGTAGCTCGACAAGGTGAAGTACGTAGCATGTAAGAAGGCTCTCCTCGGATTGATGAGAAGCTTCTAGAAGGTTGATCATTGAAGATATGTGGTCTGGTCTATGGATGCACACAAGTGTCCTTAGCGCTCCATTTATCTTCGTAGTTACTAAACTTCTCTTTTGGTAGCACATGAATTGCTTTGATGGGTCATAGAGAAATCTGATCGCCATTGGTAGGAACAACGAGTTTAGGAGAATGGACAAAACTAGGATCGAGAAGGTATCTCTGTCTAATAACTGTGTATATATATATATATATCAAACCAACAAAAAAAAAGTTTAAATTATTTTTCTTGCAAGAAAAAAAGAAAAAAAAAAAAATGATCAAGAGACTAATTACCTGCAAGCCAAAAGAGAATACGTAGAAACTTATTTCTATTATCCCTTTATGTGACATGATAAGGGAAAGAATGAAGCAGTCTTTCAAAGGCATTTTAAAGAGGTAAGGTATGACCATTGAGATGGAAAGCTTCAACAAGAAAATGAGCAAGACGAGAGACACAACTGCGAGTTTCTTGTCGTTGCTGATATTGAATGTTAAGACGTCTTTCCAAACTTTGAGATCAGTCCTGAGCATGCAAGAAGTCATGAAGACAGGCAATATAAGACCAAAGTTGAAGCTCTCTAATCGTTCGACCAACGCAGAACCAATAGGAGGTCCGTTAGGAATAGCAAGACCGAGAAAGAAAGCTCCAAGTGCTGGAAGCTGCCCAATTATGGCCCAATACACACACGAGGAACAAAGAAAGACGAGGATCCAATAGATGTGTTTGTCATCGATAGGCATCCCTTCTCGTTTACGTTTGATTACTCTAAATAGTATTGGCCTCACAACACAAAAGACAATGACGACAAATAAGGCCATTTCTACAAGTAGAACCACACCTTGAACCAATGATGGCATACCAAGAGGAACCAATACCAAGAAGAGCGATAGTCCAGCCATATTAGAGACTAAAGCTGCTGATAACGCGACCTGGCCAACAGAAGAGTTGTTCATGCCCAGGTCAAGCAAGAGTCTTGCGATTTCCGAGAAGGACGTGAGGCTCTCCATTAGCAATATTCCATCATACTCCTCGGTTTTGAGCGATGTACTCCCAGGTGATTTATATTTGTAAAGCAATAAGCCAACCGTTATAGGCAGAGTAGCCGCTGCAAGTCCAGTGAGTCTTGCATGTGTGTCAGCTTTGAAGATTCTCTTGAGATCCGTTTTCACACCATTGAGAAACCAGAAAATCATGAAACCAAATGATCCAAGGCATCCTGGAATGTCGATTCTGTGTTTGGGGAATAAAACCTCCTTAACAATGGACGTGTCGTCTTCCGAAAACGTAACTAGCATGTTCAAGAGTATCCCTGCCTTCAGATCAATAAATATTATGTCAGGATTTTACGTAGTAGTAGTAGTAGTAAAATTATAAAATAAAGAAAAAAAAAACTCACAAGCATCATAGAGGTGAATTTTGGAATGGTAAGACCTAATTTCTTGAACAAAATAGCAAAGACTTGCCAAAGGACGAAGACGAACAAGAGGACAATCTCGAGACTGGTAAGACGATATTGCCAAAACTTAAGACCAGTTTGGTTCAAAATAACTTTCTCCCAAATGCCATTTGAATACAACTTAGGTGGATGCATCTCGCATATTGAACCATTAGGTCTTACAGCTTCACCATACCAAGCCAGATCGTTTACCCATTTTAATTCAAGAGTGATCTCGTCAGGGACCCCCACATTATTCCCCATTTCAATCTCCATCTCCCCTTCCGTGGCTTTACAATTTTTCTGAGAAAAATTTGTTAAAAATTGGGTGTCTTTTGAGGGTCCAAAAGATCCGCATATGTAAAACACATGGACAGTTGTATATGAATTAAATAGGTTAATGCCGTTTTAAAACTTGATTTGGACATATATAGACATATGTAGTTTTAGAGGGGTTTCAAGTTGTTTATCCATTCTATTAATAGTGTAGTAAGTTACCGTACAAGACGTCAACTACAGCTACCAGAATTTTTAATATACTGATTGTCTGTCTGCCAGTGATTCCTGTTATTAGATTGGATGGATACTGAAAACAGCTTTTTAAAAACATAGAAGATAATGAAGCGTTCATAAGCTTTTTATAATCCATTTCTCGGGAAAAATAATCATAAAATCTGGTTGAAATGTGCCAACTCTAGATACTTCGTGATGTTGTCATGGCTGAGGATGAAGTTGCCTGCTGATACTGATACGAAGCAGTGAGCACCACTGTGTTTAAGAATGAAAGAGTAGAATTTCATTCACAAACAGATAATACCTTACTGATTGTTTCTGGTGTAGAGGAACATGATCATTGTACATAGAACCGTCCCTGAATTTTCAGGACCCCCAAGCAAATAAAATATATAACACCATTGAAATCATAACTAAGAATTATCATATGTAAATTACATAAAAAATCTTTAATTGTTTATTTTTTTCTTCAAAATAAAATTTATCCCTATTTTTCTTTTAGTATTATATAATAACTAGGAAACAACCATGCGCGTAAACGTGCGGGAGAAAGAATGTTTTTAAAAAAAAATTATTTTTCTATAATTTATATTTGTTAATCAATCATTTTGAATCATTTAATAAACTAATTATCTTGTATGAAGATCAAAAATTAAAAAATAATCTTATATAAAGAAGAGTGAAAGTATAATTTGTGTTTGAAAATGTGTAAATTTAAATGCTATGTGTTAAGCATAATAATATTAAGTAAACTTTAATATTAAAGTCGCAGTCATTTTGTTTTATCTTTTTATATACGAGAAGACAAACTTTTAAAATTTGTTGAACTGATGGAACAGTTTATATCTTTTAAGATTAAATAATATAATATGTTTTAAACACTGTAATTAATATGCAAAGAATGACATTTTTTAAAACTATGAGACTCAATAACTCCAGACAAACTGGGTTAGAAAAACATAAAAATAAGGAAAAAATGATTACCAGCTACCTGAAGTATCAGTCATCACATAACTAACCATGTAAAGTTAAAACAACGTACACTCAACTACACGAAGTATATGGTATGCATAGTAACATCCATGAACTTTATGTTGTTATGTAGTTAAAATCACAAGGCTAATAACAATTAATTACATCACAAGATTAATTACATTTACAATAAATATAACATATAAAAATGTTTAAGATATGGAAAACCTTTTTATATTTTATATTTTTATTATTATGCATATTTTATTTTAATAATTGTTATACAACAATATTAAAAATTAATTTTATTTCAGAAAAAAACTTTTAAAATTATTTTAATTTATATTTTTAATAGCTTTTTCCTTTATTTTTCTAAATTATTTGTTAGCTGAAATTATATGTTTATCCTATTTGTTGTAGAACAATTCATTTTTCCTCCATTAAGGATATATACAAATACTTTTTCACTAAATGGAAAAGAATTTTCTACCAATTTTTATAAACATATATAAATATATATATAATTATGTAAATAGTTAAGTCATTAAAAATTATTTTTCAAAACGTTTTATATCTTTAAAATGTCTTTATAAACATTTTCAGTAAAACAATTTAAGTATTTTATTGCAAAAAGCTTTTGTATTAAAATATTAAAAATATTAAAAACATTTTAGTTTATTGAATGTTTATAAATACATTTGTAAAGAGATATAAAAACGTTTTCAAATATACCTAATTATGTAGTTTCATTAAAAAAAACAAATACTTTTCTATCCTTACATTATAAATATAAATAATTATTTAAATCATGTTTAAAAATAATTGCTAAACTAACAAAATATTAAAAATATGTAAAATTAAAATAAAGTTAATCTTTTTTTTCTAAAATAACACTAATTTAAATATTATTGTATAAAAAATTAAAATTAAAATATTCGTAATAATAAAAATCAAATAAAAAAGTTTTTCCATATCTTAAAATATTTTTTATATTAATATTCTTTATTAATGTAATTAGCCTTATGATATATTAGAATAATTGGTCTTGTGATGTTGCCTACATAACAACATAAAGTTCATGGATATTAGTATGCATATCATATACCTCATGTAGCTGAATGTGCATTTCTTTACTTTGCATGGTCAGCTATGTAGTGGTCAATACTTCGGGTAGCTGGCAATCAGTTTTCCTAAAAATAATGGACTTTATTAGAAGAAGAATAAGAGATTACAAAAAGGTTGTTTTCTTACAGCGAGATTGGTTTGGATATGGTAGTTTAGTTTTACTAAAACTAAAACCTATTAATTTATTTTTGCAGACACCACATTAAATTTTTAAATATCGTTTAGAATTATATAATGAATCAAACATTATATTCAAGAGTACTAAGAATCATACCTATATTAGAAAAAAAAACACATAAATTTTCTTAAAAAATTGCATCTGTAAAACGTTCTATATTTAGTAATCTAAAAAGGTATATTGATAGAGATTATCAAGAATTGTGTTTTGTTTTAAAATGAATATTTTCAAGAGTTGCGAGGAAAAAAGGTTCAACCAAATATATTTTCGGGACCATTAGATAGAACCATAACAATTACAATCACCGGATTGAAACTCTTCAAAAAAAATTAAAAAATCAAGATTAGGGAAAAGTATGACTTTTCAAATTAAAGAGATGTGTTGTTTGAAAAAAAATAACTGTGCATAGCAATTTTAATTTAAGTATAAAAAATTATTAAGACCAATAGAAGAAAAAAAAAACAATTATAACCAAAGATTGTAATCCTTCAAATATGAAAAAGTATGACTCTTTCATGTAAAAAAGATGTATTGTTTGAAAAAAAATATGTTAATGCCATAAATATCTTATATCTAAAAAACATTTCTTAGGACAACTGCATGAAAAACAAAACAATGGTTGAAAAATTGTATCTTTTCATAATAAATTGAAATATATTAGTTTCAAAGTTGCATCTTTCATTATAAAAATAATAGTGTATTTTCAAAAAAAAAAACAATTGTTGAAAGGTTGATCTTTTCATAAGAACCGAAATATATTAGTTTAAAAGTTATTATAAATAGAATTGTGTAGTTTCATAAAAAGTTATCTATTATTTTAAAAGTTGCATCTTTTCATTATTAAAAAAAAAAGTTTATGTGTCAGATAAAATAGTTTAAAAGTATTTAAAAGAGGTTATAAGAATTGTGTCTTCTCATAATAACAATTGTTGAAAGGTTGTATCGTTTCATAAAAAAACTGAAATATATTAGTTTAAACATTGCATCTTTTCATTATAAAAATAATTGTGTATTTTAAAAAAAATATATATTATTTTAAAAGTTGCGTAAAAATTTTATTTGGAACATTAGATGAAAAAACAAAACAATTGTTGAAAGGTTTTATTTTTCATAAGAACTGAAATATAATAGTTTAAAAGTTGCATCTTTTTATTATAAGTAGAATTGTGTCTTCTTATAATAAAATGTTCTATTATTTTAAAAATTTCATCTTTTAATTAAAAAAAGTTTGTGTCTCAGAAAAAATAGTTTAAAAGTATTTAAAAGAGGTTGTAAGAGTTGTGTCTTCTCATAATAACAATTGTTGAAAGGTTGTATCTTTTCATTAAAAAACTGAAATATATTAGTTTAAAAGTTGCATCTTTTCATTATAAAAACAATTGTGTCTCAGAAAAAATAATATAAAAAAATTAAAATAGTTATAAGAGTTGTGTCTTCTCATAATAAAAATCTACTAATTATAACAATCTTGATTAATTTCAAAAGTTGTGAATGCCAAATAAAAAGAAAAATTGAGACTCTTAATAAAAATATCTATTAGTGTGAAAGGTTGAAAATACAAAATAAAATGAAAAGTTGTGTCTCTTTAGAGAGATAAATGAAAGATTGTATCTCTTAATAAATAAAATGAAAGGTTGTCTCTTAATAAAAATCACAACTAATTCTAAAGGTTGTGAATGTCAAATAAAATAAAATTTGTGTATCTTAATAAAAAAATCTCAATTAATTCTAAAAGTTGTGAATGTCAATCAAGATGAAAGGTTGTGACTCTTAATAAAAATATATTAATTAATGTGAAATGTTGTAAATATAAAATAAAATGAAAGTTGTTTCTCTTAATAAATAAATGAAAGGTTGTGCCTCTTAATAAAATAAATTGAAAATTTGTGTCTCTTAATAAATAAATGAAAGGTTGTGTGTCTTAACAAAAATACCAATTAATTCTAAAATTGTGTATCTTAATAAAAATCTCAATTAATTCGAGAGGTTGTGAATGCCAAATAACATGAAAAGTTGTAATTCTTAATAAAATGCAAATTAATGTGAAATGTTGTAAATGCAAAATAAAATGGAAAGTTTTGTCTCTTTAAGAAAATAAAATGAAAAGTTGTGTTTCTTAATAAATAAAATGAAAGGCTGTGTATGTTAACAAAAATCTCAATTATTCTAAAGGTTGTGATGCCAAATAAAATAAAAAGTTGTGTATCTTAATAAAAATCTCAATTAATGTGAAAGGTTGTGAATGCCAAATAAAATAAAAGGTGGAGTATTTTTGAAAAATATATTTTATGATTTAAATGTGTTAACCAATACATATTTCTGATAAATTAAATGTATTTAAATGTGTAAAAATTAGTTAATATAGAAATTAAAAAAATTCTTCGTCTGTAAATAAGAAAACTCGGAATATAATTTTTTTAAAAAATGAATGTTAAGTCAATAACTTTATTATTTAATAAAATATTACAATTCGAGTTTTGTTGTAGTAGAATAATGCAAAAGAATTACCACGCCCAACATAACAGTTTCTATCACCGTTAAAATAAAAAAGTTATCATACACTAGTAAAAATTGGTACACAACAAAATAAAAATAAAAAAACGTTCCATCCCTAATTGTTCAAACCATTCTTCCAAGCGCCATTGCTGGTCACACTTTCTTCCCCTTCTCATCGCACCCGCACCCTCTGATTTCTCCTTCATCTTCAACTATCCGTTCTTCTTTTTGGTGACGTCTCTCTAAACAAAAATGAAAATTTCGGTTTGTTAAATAAAAGGGTAAAAGGAACAAATCATAAGAAGAAGAAAGTGTGCAAAAGTAAAATGTGTCTCTATGTATAATTGTAACTAGATCATAACCCGCCCGACTGGGCGGGTCTTTATTTTTATGGTATATATAAATATTTTAAAAATTACAATCTTACGGTTCTAATTTTACTAAGTAATAGTATTTTATTTAAACATTGTATTTCATCACTGTATTGTGTAACAGGACGTCGGTAAAATATTGTGACCCGTAAATATTTTAATAATATTTTATAAAAAATAAAATTTTTTTACTAAATTTGGTGCAAAGTTATAAACACTAAACAATTTAGTCAAATTTTTAAGTTCATTTTTAGTGAAGAATTGGAAGGCTAGTATATTACTGTTAAAAACTTATAACAATAGTCAATATAAGTTATATAAATAAAATATATACTATATTTGATTTTTTCCAAATACATTTAAAACATGAGTACATATATTTATAAATAATTTTTAGAAATAAAGTAATATCAATGATAGAAAACCCAAAAACAATAATAATGATATTTGGGCCGCAGTAATTTTTAGTTTAATAAGTAACCCATTAGATTTGTAGGCTATCCTTGTTTCTAATCATCATAATTTTAAATACTTCATATTCATGTTTCCAAACACTTAATTTTTTGTATTTCAACTTTAATAGTATAGATGTTAAAATGTGTCTCCATATGTAAATTTTTCATTTTCAAGCCTAACATGCCACCGAGGAATGCACCTAATACTATAAACGCCGGCCACTACATGTCTCCTCCTAACTATGATCCGTCTAATGTCTACGAATCATTATTTTCATGATAATATTGTATATTAAACAACTAATCAAAGGTTATAAGTAGTCGTCACAACCATTAACAATATGTATTTATATGCTGTCGTAAACATTTTTGTGTTTAGTTCTATCCATTTTCGGTTTTCATTGAAAGCGTCGATTTGATGACGTGGATCTATAGTGCTTGAAAATAAAACCTTTGCTTGTTGATAGAACTGAATGCTCACACTAACATAAACAAACAAAAAACGTGAATTGGTGGCCTAAGTGCCACTCAACACTACTAATGAACCTTTGCCTAATTCAGTTGTTAACCTTCACGGGTTTCACTTTCCTTTTTATTTCCTACTTTTTATTTGCTTTGAATATAATTAAAGAAATTAGACATTAAGCATAAATAATACATCTCTGTTTATGCAACTAAGAATGTTTCAAGATCTAACAATTCGATTATTCAAAGCAATAATATAAATATGCTTGTTCTTTGAAAATATTTACTAGAAGAAGCTGTCCAATTTCATTCTAATTAAAATAAACGTCATGAAGGGTTGACTTCTTGTACATAGATCTAAGTGAAGATAATATTTAGAATATAAAAGTAGATACAACAAAACACCAACTAGAAAAAAAGACAGATTTATTTTATTTTGCCATCATCATTAATAAAAATTTATTTGATTTCATTTTTGAAGAATTTTGGCAGAGAAATGCAGAAGTGTCCGGTCATGTGAACTGCGGAGTGAACCGTCAAAATGTTATTCGTTGTTTTGGAAATATTATAATAATGTAAAGCGGATCGATATGTGTAAAAAATTTCGTGGAGTAGTAAACCAGAAAGATTAACAACCACCAACCTTAACCTCTCCCTTCGTATATATATATAAATAAACAGCCCCCACCATCGTCTTCCACACTGCCTCTCTTCTCTCTCTTGTTAGTTCACTCCACATAATAAACACCAAAAATAAACTAATTTCTTCTTATCGTAATTTCCAAATTTTCTTGAATTAGGTTTGTTTCTTGATTGATTTCTTGAACCGGGCTATCTTTTTTTATTTTGTTTTACTATCTTTAGTGTTAATAAGCATGATGAGTCATGATCAGAAGCAAATCATAAAGGGTAAACGTACGAAGCGACAGAGATCATCGTCGTCTACCTTTTTGGTGGCAGCCGCTACCACCATCACCTCCACAAGCTCATCAGCCGGAGATGGCGGCGGAGGAAGAACAGTTTCCGACGAATACAACTCGGCGGTTTCGTCTCCAGTAACCATAACTGATTGTACCGAAGAAGAGGAAGACATGGCTATTTGTCTCATCATGCTTGCGCGTGGAGCGGCTCTATCACCGGATCTCAAGAACTCGAGAACAGCTGGAGAGAACTCGAGTTTCTATGTCTACGAGTGTAAAACATGTAACCGGACGTTCTCATCGTTCCAAGCCCTCGGTGGACACAGGGCGAGCCACAAGAAGCCTAGAGTTTCGATAGACGAAAAGACAAAACTACCCCTGATGCAGGTCAAGTCTGTTGGTTCAGAGGAAGGGCAGAAACGTCATTTCAAAGCGTCTGGTCCAGCCCTAGCTTCGCAGTCAAGTAACACAGTGATCAGCAAGGCAAACAAAGTCCACGAGTGTTCTATCTGCGGTTCTGAGTTCACTTCGGGACAAGCTCTCGGCGGCCACATGAGGCGGCACAGGACAGCCACCACTGCGGTAATACCGGTCGCTACCCCGGAAGTTAGCAGAAACAGTACAGAGGAGGAGACTGAGAATTTGAGCACTTACATTGAACAGAGGAAATATTTACCGTTGGATCTTAACCTACCGGCACCAGAAGATGATTTAAGAGAGTCAAAGTTTCAAGGGATAGTGTTCTCAACCACACCAGCGTTAATAGATTGTCATTACTAGCTAGTTGTTTGACGTTGAATGTTTAGTTACATCATAACATATTTGTGAATTCTTCTTCTATTACTATATTTTTGAACTGAAAATATTTCCAAAAACTGAATCAAAATATCAGTTGATTTCTTTTAATAGGAGGAAAATGAACAAGTTATAATAAAGAAAAAGAAGGAATAATAGTAGGAGTTAAGTAAAGGGTTGTGTGATTGTTAGATGATCTACTTGTTGAAGTAAGAATAGTTTGAGTAAGCAAGTGGTTTGGGTTCATGGTTGCCTTTCATTCACGAAAAGCAAGTGACTTCCAAGGCATCTTTTATTTCCCTCTTTTTAAGGTATATTTTATTAGGGAATTATTTGTGAAATGACCAAAAATACAAATTATAAGTTTTTTTGTATCATGTGAACCAAGCTTGTATTGCTTGTAGGCGCCTCTTTCCTCGCGATTACGCAGCCAACGCTACATTGTGTTCTACTACTTCAAACAAATTAAGCTATGGCATAAAATTTATAGAACATAAACAATCTAGAGAAATAGAGGCGTAAAATATTATAAAATACATATAAAACACCCTGAAGTAGTAGTATGGTGGTAATCTTTGTAGGATTCAGTGTACACTCACATTGATCTTGAGTTTGATTCTTGCGGAAAACTAAGTTATAACTAATTTGGATTGGTTTATATGGTGGTCCATAACAGACGATTGATTTATCCTCTAGTATTTAGTTAGAAGATATTCATATTCGGGTTAGATAGTGTAGTATCTAATCCACTCTATAGCACTAAGTGTGTTTCTTTGAGGATTAACCGGATTTTTTTTTTTGAACAAACAACCATTGCATTAGTCGAAATGAGTTTACCCTCCATAGTTGGAGTTCAATACAGACATAGCTAATGCTGATTTTGCCAAAAAAAAACACCTTGAAAATTTTGGTGAAATTAGTATTTGAGCTCTTAATTTCTCTTTGGTATTTGACTAATAATTTACACGATTATAAAAGAAACACTTTAAAATATATAAATAGTGATGTCCCTGTTATGACATTATGTATAAGAACCAATGATATATTCCATCATTCCCATTTCATCATTCATACAGTTGAAATCATATTATGCTAGTCACCTAAAGTAATTTGACAAAGTACAAATTAAACCTTATTTTCGAGATTCCAAATTAGTTTGAGAACTATGTTATTATTAACTCAGCACAATATATTAATAAAAGGGTTATTTAGTAGAATGAATAAAAATAAAAATGGCCCATTTTGAATTTATGATATGATGAACAACACTAATTTTCCAGCTCTCCTTTTCATAACAAGCAATTTGTAAATAGGTATACATACTAAACAGCGTTTGAATCCATTTATATAAATTGTTTAAAATTATTAGAAAATGTTATATATACACAAAATGAATTTATGAAATAGAAAGGTAGTGGACACGAGAAGGACGTTGTGACCGGCTGAGGATTTGGCAGAGAATGACCACCACAACTAATAGACGTGTATGAGGTTCCTCTTTGGTTTTGGGTTGTTTTTGTTGGTCATCACATTTACAATTGTTTAATCAATTATAACGGACTAACAATTATTATCATAGAAAGTAGAAAAAAACTAATAATGAGAAAAAGGAAAAGATAAACAGTGACAGCAGAAACAGTCACAAGATTCACTGACCGCTTCACACCAAGAGCACTTCCAATGCTCACCCTAATATTTTTTTTCTTGCAGTTGCATTTACGATTCAACGTTTATTAATTGAAACAAATTGTATTAACATATTCTTGTTCTTTCACGATGTTATTTCGTCAATTGAACTATCTTTCTAGGAATTAATTTTACAGATTAGTGAAAAACTTGTAGAGCTCCAAGCCTAAAATGTATAAGATTAATAATAAGCTGAATGTCGTTTCCTTCGCTTTCATCCTCCAAATCACCAAGTGAAGGCCATACGTACATAAATACATAAGCAATAAAAAGATGACTAACAATCTAACGTACTAAGCAAAAGAGACTACATGAGTACAGAACAATAAGTTTTTCTTTTGAGTACAGAACAGCAAATTTTGTTTACCGATCCAGGAGTCCAATACATCAATAATTCTTAAAGAGCACGAGTCAAGAACTTTTGTTAACCATGTTTGGTGAAACATATACTAAACAAGGTTAATAAAATTAAGCCAAATTTTTTTAAAAAAAAAACAAGGTTAATAATAAAATTGAAAAATAGACCAAACAGGTAAACAAATGTATTAGAGTTATGTATTGTTGGAGATGCGTCCCTCGGCAAAGCCCAACAATGTAACTGAACTCGATTTGGCGAAATGAATCACAAAAACATAGAAGCCGACACAAGAATTAGGATTTTCGTGGTTGCACCTTCTGCCTGACGAACTCATAGTTCTCTTACAATTTCGTTATCCTTTACCTTCAATATACATCTTTCACATAACCCACCCTAGGTTACATTTATTTCGGGAAAATCGCATAAAAAACCTTCAAAGTGACACTTACTAGCACTTTAAACCTTGAAGTTTTTTCACTAACACTTTAAACCTTCAAAGTGACATTCGTGTCACCAAAAACCTTGAACTTGAAAATGTGACCTGTTGAACAGGTCAAACAAGTTAATTATCAATTTTTCAAAAATAAATATTTAAGAAATAATATAAATGATTAAAAATCAATTAAATTTTCAAAAAAATTAAAAAAAATTTCATAACATAAAGAAAAATTAAAAAAAAAATAACTTCAAATACCAAAAATTAAATAAAATTCTAAAAATTAAACAAAAATTAATGAAAATTCGCAAAATTGAACAAAAACTAAATAAAAATCAAAAACTAAATTACCTTTTTTAAAAATTAAAGAAAATTTCAGAACATATAGAAACATTATAAAAAAATTGAAAACTATTTGAAACCATCATCGTCAATAGTGATATATTTAAATTTTTTATTCTCAACTATAATATTTCAGATTTATGAAAAAGAAATCTTGTAATTTTTAGGCAATTTTCAATAAAATTGACATATCATCGTTGCCAAAAAAAATTCAAACATATCACTATTGTAGTTCATGGTTTCAAATAGTTAAAAACATAATCTTGTAATTTTCAAAAAACTATTTTGAACTTTTTAATTTTCAATTTGGTGAATATTCTTTATTATTTTGTTTAATTTTCTGATTTTTATTTAATTTTAGATATTTCAATTTATTTATTTTTATAAATTTTATTTATGTTCAGAATTTATTTTTAACTTTTTGAAAATTAATTGATTTTTATTTATTTGTTTGATTATTTATTATAGTTATTAAATATTTTTTTCTCTGAAAAAACTAATAAAAATAAGTAATTTTCAGGTTTTTCTGCGAAAGAAATATTGAATAAATATAAATTTAATAAATATTTAAAAAATAAATAAAAATCAAATGAATTTTCAAAAATTTCAATTTTGTGAATTTTCTTTAATTTTTTTTTTAATTTTCAGAATTTTATTTAATTTTGGTATTTGAAATTATTTTTTATAAAATTTTCTTTATGTTCTGAAATTTTTTTTTTTTTTTTTTGAAAATTTAAATGATTTTTATTCATTTTTTGATTATTTCTAAAAAATTTATTTATTAAATATTTATTTTTCAAAAATACTTGATAAATGACTTGTTTGACTTATTCAACAGGTCAGAATTTCAAGTTTAAGGTTTTTTGTGACACGAATGTCACTTTGAAGGTTTAAAGTGCTAATGAAAAAACTTCAAGATTTAAAATGCTAGTTAATGTCATTTTGAAAGTTTTTTATGCGATTTTCCCCATTTATTTCTATTATATTCGTTATCTTTCCAGTTAAATTCTTTTTTTTTTTGAAATGTTCTATCGGTTGAACTGACTGGTCGCCTCGGAAAAAACACATTTAATATCACAGAGTTGACTGGATATAATACTGTGTGACCAAAATTCTAAACTTACCTTTTTGAAATAACCTAAAAGTATTGTTATATATTTCAGTAGGATTTATGGACAATTATGTAAATAAATCTCACTAAAATAAAGTGATATAATATCCATTACTAAAAACATGGAAACCCAGAAAATCAGAGAAAACTTTTAGAAGAAAAAAGGGTAATATATTCGGAAATGAAATAAAATCTGCAAAATTGAAAAAGTTGACAAGTCAGGACAGTTAACAATTACGTAACATATACATTTTGCTATAATAAAGTGATAATGCCAGTAATAGAACGTAAAAAATGAAAACCGGAAAACCATAGTAAACTCTTAGAAACGAAATTGTAAATATTGTTTGAACAAATTAAATATAAATAAAAAAACTGGGAAAATATTCAGAAAAAAAGGAAATAACAAAATTGGGAAAATGACAAAAACTAACAATTACGACTAAAGTCCATACTGTATAAATATGTGCATGAATGATCAAGAAGTTGCATTGTGTCTCAAAACCTAAAAGTATTATTCGATCACCCATGTCTTCTGTAACCAGAATGATGAGCATGGTACTCTCTCTTCAAATCATTACAGCTTTTTTCTTTATTACAGCCACTGTCTCGTCATCAGACTCATCACAACCCGGTGGATTCACCATGGACCTAATCCAACATCGCTCTAAATCTAATTCATCTTCTTTCCGGCGCTCTAATATTGATAATCAACTCCGAGCAACTCCTTACGCCGACGTCGCCTTTGATACCTACGAGTATCTTATGAAACTCCAAATCGGTACACCTCCTGTCGAGATCGAAGCAATCTTAGACACAGGAAGCGAAGTGGTATGGACACAATGTTTGCCTTGTATTAACTGCTTCAACCAAAGCAGTCCAATATTCGACCCTTCTAAGTCCTCGACCTACAAAAAGATAAGATGCACTACACCTGACCAGTCTTGTGACTATGATGTGGTCTACGGAGACAAGAGCTATTCCATAGGAAGCTTCGTATCGGAGACTGTCAGCATCAAATCCACTTCTGGCCAATCCTATGTAATGCCTGAAACCATTATTGGATGTTCACACAACAACTCAGCGTTTAAAACAAGCGGTTCGGGCATTGTTGGTCTAAATTGGAAGCCTCTATCACTCATCTCTCAGATGGGCAAACACATGTTAGGTGCTATTTCTTACTGCTTCTCCCCTGAGGGAACTAGTAACATCAACTTTGGAAGTAATGCTATTGTGTCGGGAGAAGGGACTGTAACAACCCCTATGTTTAAGAAGAAGGAGGGACCCGGTCTCTATTACCTAAACCTAGACGCGGTCAGCGTTGAAAAAACTCGCATTGAAACACTGGGGACACCGTTTCACGCCTCAGACGGGAACATAGTCATAGATTCTGGATCAACTTTAACCACCTTGCCCGCTAGCTACTGTAGCCTAGTGAGGGAGGCAGTGGAAAAGTTTGTTGAAGCGGAACGTGTAACTTCCAAGGACGGCACGCTTTGCTACAAAACGAACACGATGGATGTCTTTCCAGTGATCACAATGCATTTCACTGGAGGTGCAGATCTTGTTTTGGGTAAAACCAATACGTATATGGCTGTTAATGGAGGAGACATTTGTCTGGCTATTATTTGTGGTCCGACGATACCATTACCAGGTGGTGTAGATGCTATTTTTGGTAACAGAGCGCAGAACAACTTCTTGGTTGGTTATGATGATTCTTCAAGACTCTTTTCTTTTAAACCCACCGATTGTGGAGTTAAACAAGACATACCAAGAGACTCAGTTTCTGCAGCATCCTTTTTACAGTTTAACATTACGTTTGTTTTATTTATATATGTCCTTTCACTGATCAGACTATAGAGAATGGATTTGTTTTATGTCTCTGTCTTTTCATTAATAAGACTATAGAGAAGGGATTTGTTTTATTTATATTTTGTAGAGAATGGATTTTTTTATTTTTTTATTTTGTCCTTTCATTAATAAGACCATAGAGAATGGATTTGTTTTAAACATCAGTATGCGAATGAGTAGTTGAGTCGCACCCATAAACAAATAACATATGACCTTTTAGACATATCTCCAAGAACTCCTCCATTTGAACGATACACACACACAGCCTTTAGCTTACATCCAACATAACAAAATCTAGACCACAAGATAAAAGACAATCCTCTGAATGCATAATCATTGTTCAAAAGTTCCTCATCTGTGCTAAACATTGTTAATAGCATGAAGAATCATCACCACATGCAAATAGCTCCATAACCTTTCGGTGACTGATTACAATACTATGATTGAGATTACAAGAAGCAAGATTCCTGCATACAACGAGTTCATCTTCCAAATGCATCGACAACAGCTTCGGCTTCAGCTTCGTATTCTATTTGGTGATGATTACAAGCACTATCAGTACCATATATGCATCAGCATTGTGATTAAGGAACACTGGAAACATTTACTTTTCGAGATACTAGATTTGGTGATGATTACATACCTCCAAACTACATTGTCTGATCACTATCTCTAAGATAAACGGTAAATTTAGCTTCATACCTACAAATCATGCCTCTAACATTCTCAGAATGAGTCGAGACGGGACAACTTCAACACTTTAGCTCAAGTTAGCAACTTCCCCTTGGTCTCTGTTTTTCCAGTTCCTTTTTTGGAAGTCATTAGTTCGATTTTCTATTATATTACTTTATTTTTCAAGTTCAAATTTTTTTTTCCAAAATATGTATCAACTCTTAGACATCCCTTATACATTATTGTAAAGTAATTTTGACATATGTCATAACCACAATCAATTTATCAAATAAAAAGATGACATATTCACTAATAAGAGTTAATTGTGATATGTAAATTTTTAGAATATAGTAGTAACTCATAAATTATCATTAGCAAAACAAGAAATAATATAATCGTAGAAAGATGAATATAATAATATTTACTAATTTTGAAATATTTTTCAAATCTATTTTTCTAATTATATAGTTTTATTAATATTTTTTTCAAAATTTTATGTAGTCTTTTCTTTTAAAAAATGATCATTTTCCAATCCTGATACTGCTAGTTTTATTTATAACATATGTAAATTTTAGAAATATTATTTAATTTATAATTTGATAATTATATACCTAAAAAAATTTCTTTTAATTCTATAGAATCAGATTTAACATATATAAACCAAAAGAAAAGAAAAATTTCTTTCCAAAATTTTAATTTATATATATATTATTAAATATAAGTTTAAATAAAATTTGTTTATTTTATCTTAAATTTTACATATAATTAATGTAAAATTAATAATGTAACAAAATAATAAATTTAAAAATTAACTAAATTTAATTTTTAAATAGAATTTTAGTTTTAAATTTTTTTATTTCTGCACAGAGTGTAGGAAAACCTAATATCTCAAAAAAAAAATGATTACAATGCTAAAATTGAGATTAAAAGAGACAAGACTTCCTCTATTATTAGATAAATAACAATGCTATACGCGGTAGGATCAAAATTATTTTTATTATGTATTTATTGATGATTTTATTTTTTCTTCACTTAGATATTCAATTTTTTAGCATAATGTTAAATATAATTTGTCTTTTTGTTAAATATACTTTCTCTTGTTGGTTTCGAAAATTTTATATATATATATATATATAGTACCAGTCACAACCGTAGTTTTTTTCTTGTTATATAACAAAAGTCTATTCATGCGTCATATAAAAAAATAAATTCATGGGTCATATTTTTGATACATTTTAACAGGGCCCATAGGCAGCATAGTAATAGATTTCCTCAAAATGAAAATTAATTAACTCAACTTTTTACTTAATTTAGATCACGAATAGATCAAAATTTTATTAATGATTTTGTAAACAAAGGTGTTGAAATATGATTGTTATCATTATTAATCACCAGAAGTGGTAAACACTTACAGAAGTTGAGGAAATTTGGAAAAGCTGAGGAAATAGTTGTAACGCTCCTATCGTCTGAGAACTCCCATTTGTTTAATCGAGATGAATCAAATCAATTCATTAAAATCTTTTAATATATACCAAAACGAAATGTTACTATAGTGTTCAATCTAAAAGATAGTTGACAGAGCAGGTGTGATTCCATCTTGTTTCACAACGAGGAAGTTAAATTAAACTATCGATAAAAAAATAATATAAGATAAATTAGATAGATGAACATAAGAAGGTTTAAACGAAACTGCACATAACAGATGGGTAATCGTGGATAAGAAATTAACATAAGTTACATTAGATAGCTGTAGTGAGCTGGGTGAACATAGGAAGGTTTAAAGAAAATTGCATAAAACAAATGGGGGTAATCGATAACTTTTAACTAGCAAAAAAATTAGCGAGGAACATAGTAACTAATTCCTTTACCAAATTATATTCTGGCTAAAACGCGAGAATAAAAAACGACAATTACTTTTATTTTTCATAAGAATTTTTATTTAGTATTTAATTAAAAACAATTTAACAAAAACGTAAAACTTAATTGGAAAATATTAAGGTACAGAATATTAAAGAAGTATTAAATTTGCATAATTTTGGGGGAAAAACATCAAATAAAATGGAACAATAAAGAATTTTAAAACAAGTTAATAATGAAGACAGGAGGAAAAGGAAGTAATCTTATTTTTCATTTAAACGGGATAAGTGAAGATGATGGATGATGTTCCAAAGGGATGAGGAACAAGATGTGATATGCACAGAGATGTAACAAGATGTTTCATGTGGGAACATGTCTTAGTGGAAATAACCTTAAATAGAGACAGCTTCTTGAATTAAGGCCGATTTTTGCCCATTTTACCCTACCTATTCATAATAATACATACCTCTGCTTCTGGGTTTCGTAGTGGGATTTTCATTTTCGACCCAACAAAATTGGGATTTTCATCAATTTCACAAATTATGGGTCGACAAAAAAAAAAAAAAAAAATAGAGGTTAGTGGGTACATAACTATCATCATTGTGTATAGGCTTTTTGTTCTTGTTTAAAAAACTGTATTAATTTGTGTAATCAAATCGATGTAACTGAATGATTTGACTTCAGACAAAAGAGCAAAGACAGAGATGTGTGACACGGGAACTCCACTTCTTATGTCTCTCTGGTCTCTTACACATGTTCCGTTTTATTCGAATCCCATCGTTGGTCACTTGTTGTGTTATACGAAAATATCAACATTCTCATAACCAGATAGATACCATTCTTTTTGTTGTCATAACATATAACTAGATATTTTGGGTGTAACTAACAAGTAACAACTAACAAGTGGATAGCTTATTGAATACTACCTATAAAGATCTTTTGATGAATGTCCAGCAAGGCAGCAAATATATTGTTTTTACAAATCTTTCAACTCATGGTTAAGAACAAAACAGATTTTTAGTACATAGTTTAAAATAGCTTTCTGTTGTATCTCTAGCCTAACGTTATGTTTGTTGTTAATCGAAACACTTTATCACTTTCTACTGTATCATATGTTTGGTGGAAAAACAATTGAATAAACTGTAAATCCGTAAAGAAGCAATATGTTTAACCATTTTCTAGCTTGTAAAAAAATTGTTTGTCTCAAATAATTGTGGTTAAGTGATAGGTGATACTTAAGAATGTGCCAAAACAATTTAAACTATGATATGATAATTATTTTTGGTCAAGATTATCGACAAAACACTTTTGAAGTAGACTGATTGTGATTAAAAATGCAGAAGACAACTCATATGAGGGCCCGATCAAATGGTTTGCTGCAAGCTCCTAAGGAAATTCAATAAATCCCAAAATCTCCACTTCTTTGAAAACTCAACTTAACCTAAACTCTGTGTAAACAAACTGATGCATTTCATTGTAAATTTTAAATTTAAATTTATTTTCCAGTCAATTTTAAAAAAGTAAAGAGTAAAACTGACTGAAGTAATTAATGAGTTTGCTTTACCATAGTAAAATTATAAAGACTAAAATGATATAGATAAAAAGTTGGCAAGATTATTATAAATACTAAAATGATATCAGTAAACCTTAACAATATTATTTGAAAAACAGATAACTGCAAGGATTTAAAAATAACGAATTCTCAATATGAAATTTTGTATAATAGAATTTTAAATATGAAATTTCACTGTTTAAATTTTCAAATTTCTTTTGGAACATATAATACTTCATATTTGAAATTTTGAAGTTGTTTTTGGAGAAAGTGTGAGCTTAAACTTCAGCTAGACAATTTACCAGCTAATCTAATAATATGTGATTTAGTCATCTCTTGATATTAGTCAAAAAATATTTTAAACTCAGATGATAAATGTAGTGCGTCTTTAATGAGAAGTCTACACCGTAACATTAAATATGTTTCTACCACACTGACTAAATCAGCTTATTAATTATAAAAGAAAACATGTGAATTTATTTTAGATTTCGTATCTATCTTTGTGTTCTTAAGTATATATATATGAATAAATGAGAGATAACATAGAACATAAATCATGCTTGGCCTAGTCTATACTATTAAAGCATAATACCTAATAGGAATTTGCCCTTAATTTTCAATGATAATTACATTACCATGCCATTAGCCATTTCTTTAGATTTAATTTACTTAAGGAAATAATCTAACTATAATTCCTACTTAATTGCAAAATATCCTCCCATAATTCATTAGTATTAATAAGCATAATATTTTGTGCTATACTCACGAACTAAAAACACTTTTGTCAAAATATTTATGTAATGCACAAGAAAACTTTAGTTTAATAAATTTAGGTTCATTTAACTTAACGTAGGATTATATTATTATATTATTCTAAAATTTAAAAATACATGATTTAAAACTATGTGTATTTGTAATTTATACACAT